TCTATATATATATATATATATATATATTTATCATTTCATTAGAAAAGCAGAAAACGAGAGGAGAAGAATGGGCAGCAAAATCACCTTTCAAGATGCCAAAATGGAGAATTCATAATGCAAATTTCAAAACAAATGTCCAGTATTATCAAACTAATTAGCTCGAATTTGAAATTTTATTCAAATTTAATGGGCTCGAAACAACTGTCCAGTATTATCAGATTGTTATTACGTTGTTAAGGCATTGTCTGTTATTATATTGTCAGTGCACTATTGTATTGTTAATGCTCTATTATGAGACTGCTATTGTACTGTTACACTTTTACTAAGCTAGTGTAGTATAAGTGAAATATAGGCAGAAGAAATCATGAATAAATAGCAATGCAATAGAAGTGTAATATTGGTAGAAATACTTGAATTTAATTTTAAAAACCTAAAACAGCATAGGTTGAAATGATTGAGATTAGAAAAAGAATAATGCTACTCTTACCACATTCATATACCACTTTATGTGGCCGCCGAGTTAGACAACCACATCAATTAAAATTATTTAATATTTTCTTTTCTTCTATGATTTATTCCAGTATTTGTTTTTCTAATTTTCTTAGTTAAAATATACTTCATTGATTTAATTGATGTGGCATATAACATGGACGTGCCACATTATGTGGTATAGAAATGTGGGATAAAAATATGGTACATGTAGCATTACTCTTTTTAAATAAAAAACAAAGTGCATCATTTTATTTTATTTTGGGTTATATAAGACTTATTGTCAATGAGTGCATTTTTATACACTGCCTACACTGCTATTTACATTGTTGTTGCGTGGAAGTTTCAAGTGGTAATGCGAGGAAGTTTCAAGTGGTAATGCGTGGAAGAATTGTGCGCGGTTCTTTTTTGTATTTTTGTGGATTTTTTGTTTGTTTATTTATATTGGATTGTTTTGGGTGCTTTTCCAAAAAGTTGGGATTGGGCGTACAGTAAAAGTCAGTGGCATGGTTGTAATATTTAAGTGATGTTGTTGGTTCAGGCCTGTTGAATAGTCAACTGGTATGGTATTTTTAATAGAATTTGGATAATGTAGGGTGTTTTAATATTTTGGATTCTAAAATTGGGCATCAAAGTAAAGCTCCCTGAAAAAAAATTCTAATTCATCGAACTTTTGTATGTATATTCGGAGTTGGTTGGAGTTCATCTTAAAACAAAAAAAGAAAAAGAGAAAACGAAACCAATACCAAAACCAGCTTCTGCCAACATAATTACACCATTGGACTTGAAAACCCTAGCCAAACTAACGGACTTCTTTTGAGATATTGATGGACAAGGCTTCAGAGGGTATCCACAGAGTCCAGGATTGTTGGCCACACTAAAAGATTTAAGCCTAGTTAGCTGGTTAACTTCTGCCGGAATGTTACCCGAGAGCTGGTTGTTATCAAGCTTGAGCACATTCATATAGCTGCAATTGGAAAGCTGCGGCGGGATCAGCCCTGAGAATCTGTTGTAAGAGAGATCAAGAGACGTAACGAACGAAAGAATTTTATCGATATCATGAGGAAGAGGTCCACTGAGCTGGTTGCTTGAAAGATCTAAACCTGTTAAGCTTGTACAATTTTCTACGCCTCGAGGGAACTGACCTTTTAGTCCCAAGTCCGAAAGCTTGATGTTCAGAACCTTGCTCTCATGAAGGTGCCAACACTCGATCCCGAGAAAGTTGCAGATGAAGCCTTCAGTGTTGTTGTTGAAATCCCAGGAAGAGTTTAAGTAACCTAGAGTGTCCTCAAGTGATGCTTTTATACTTTTCAAGCAGTTGATATCGCTCTCAACACCAAAGCTGAAGCTACAACGACTAAGCAGCAACAACAAGAGGACACTGCCAATAGAAATGTCTAGATGTTGTTTGCTCAACAGCACATTCGCTAAGAAAGCCATCAAATAAAATGGCTTAAAAAAAGTTGTTGCCCTATTCAAGCAAGAATGATTTCAGAGCTAGAGATATATTACTGAAATGAACCCAGAAATTCTCTAGCATTTTAATGACACTAGAGATCAAAGAACCCAGAGAAAGGGTTATTTCAATTTCAATCGACGACTGCAATTGGAGAAAAAAAAACCAAGTTCAACGAGAAAATGGCCCTCTATGGTCTTTCTACAGTAAGAGATGAAAGACTTTGACGGTCAACACGTAAATGACATGCAATTACGCAAGAGTGAATTATACATTTAAAAAAATTTCCTGTCTCTTTTTTCTCTTTTGGTAAACAAATCCGATTGGTTTGATGAAAGTGAGAGGAGAAGCTCATTAATTGGGTCATTTGAAGGAGAAGCGTTGTTATCCCACCCAATCACGGTATGCGATACATGATAATTTTTCCATTACTATGATTGAAAGAGATAGCAACTCACTAAATTTAACAATAGCAACATCATTCTCGGACTTGAAGATGAGTTGCATGGCAAGTGGGCCCCCACAGAGTCCGAAATTGATCATATAACTCTGCGCTCCAATTGAAGCAGCCCCATAAACGAACTGTGGGACCGGCCCAGACAGAAGATTGTGGGCCACACTGAGTTTCTTAAGCCTAGGAAGTTAAACGCATTGTCGTCAAGCTTGAGCAGATTGAGCCACGTACAGTTGGGAAGGTCTGGGATTTGGCCTGAGAAGGTGTTGTTTGAGAAGTCAAGATTTGTGATGTACGAAATTGTGTGACAGATGTCAGCAGGAAGAGGTACCTGCAGATTGTTGCTCGAAAGATGCGTGACGCCTGTGCAGTTTGCTAAGCACTGAGAAATAAAAACAATTGGTTCCTATTCACTATTTGTGAAATAAAAACATAGATTTCAGTTCTGTTGTTGATTTTGTACTTGTAAGGGAACTATACCACTTGGTGTGTGTTTTAGACTAAAAAAAAATGCTAATTCATCCAACTTTGTATGTAATATATGCAATGACAATGCCGCGGGTGTATTATTTGATCATGTTTGAGTACATGACCAAATAAGGCACACACAAGGCTGTTGGAGCTCATCTTAAAAGAAGAAAAAAAAAGAGAAAACGAAACCAATACCATAACCAGCTGCTGCCACCATAATTACACCATTCGACTTGAAAACCGTAACCACATTCAAGGACTTCATTTGAGATATTGATGGGCAAGGCTTGAGGGGGTATCCACAAAGTCCAGGATTGTTTGCATAACTGTCCGCTGTAATTGAAGCAATATTCTCACTGAATGGTGGCACTTGGCCCGACAGAAGATTGTTGGCCACACTAAAAGTTCTAAGCCTAGTTAGCTGGTTAGCTTCTGCTGGAATGTTACCTGAGAACTGGTTGTTATCAAGCTTGAGCACATTCATATAGCTACAGTTGAAAAGTTTCGCTGGGATTGGCCCTGAGAAGCTGTTGGAAGAGAGATCAAGAGACGTAACAAACGTAAGGATTCTATCGATATCATGAGGAAGATCTCCACTGAGCCTGTTTCTTGAAAGATCTAAACCTGTTAAGCTTGTACAATTTTCTACGCCCCGTGGGAACTGACCTTTTAGTCCCAAGTTTGAAAGCTTGATGTTCAGAACCTTGCTCTCATTAGGGTGCCAACACTCGATCCCGAGAAAGTTGCAGATGAAGCCTTCAGTGTTGTTGCTGAAATCCCAGGAAGAGTTTAAGTAACCTGAAGTGTCCTCAAGTGATGCTTTTATACTTTTCAAGCAGTTGATATCGCTCTCAACGCCAAAGCTGAAGCTACAACTAAGCAGCAGCAACCAGAAGACACTGCTAATAAACATGTCTAGATTTCGTTTGCTCAACAACACAGGCATCAAGAAAGCCATCAAATAGCCTTAAAAGTTGGTACCTACTTAAGCAATGATGAATATCAGAATGCACTTGGAAAAAAGTAAAAAGTTCAATGAGAAAGCGACCCTCTTTAGTCTTTCGACAGAGATGAAAGAAAGACTTTGAGTCAACACGTAAATGAAATGCAATTATGCAGAAGTTTCCTGTCGTTTTCTTCTTTGGTAAACCGAATCTGATTGGTTTGATGAAAGCGAGCGAAGGAAGCTCATTAAATGGGTTATTTGAAGCTCAGGGACGACTTGGGGGGTGGGTTGCTTGCTATACTCGTCAGAGTGCTCGACTGCCCTCTATCCTTAACTATTTTATTTTTGTCTTTGAATCGTTTCAGAAGTGGCTATGAGCAGCACACTGTAACAACACCTGGGCAATGCTTTTGCTCTCTTTTCAACTTTTATTTACTTTCTTTCTAATCAAGTTAGGTTTGTTTCAAAAATAGCTGAAAAAGCTGCAAAGGGTTTTCTCTGAAAAATGGTGCTGAGTTGACCTAGCAGAACAAGAGTTTGAACAGAGACGATAGATTCTATGGTGTAGTCAATTGCAGAGAAGCAGATAATGGGAGGCAGCGAGGATGACAAAAGATACGACAGGATAAAAAACAGAGGGAGATAGAGAGAGTGAGTGGAGAATTGAATTCGTTGAAGCATTAGAATTTAAGCATGCACTACAACAATTGCAATTCATCCATTTCCTGGAGCTGTTGGCATTCTTTATTTTACTTGCAGTTCCTCGAGCAAGTTTTATAATCATAATACAATTGTCTTGCCTTTGGTCAAATAAGAAATCAAGGGCCATAATATACAGCACACATGCCCTACATGCCCTGTCTCTAGGGTTTAATTGTAGATACTAAAATCTTGGTGTTGCAGTGCTACCAAGTACTTCAATGTTATTGTATAGGAAATAATACATCTATTAAACCAATACCAAAGCAACTAAAAAGAGACTGAGGGCATTTTACAAACTGAGTACCTTGTAAATCTAAAAAAAGTTGCTCTTATGAAGAACATTAAACAAGCTGGGCTATATGCGACTTAAAATACACATTCAAAGATTATAGAGGGCGATGTTACAGCTCTATGTTGTAAAAAAGCAGGTCCAATAGTAGCTAAAGCATAAATCATATATGTAATAATAATGTTTATTACAGTACACAAAAACAGATAATTACAAAAGGGTACTGGCCATATATTAATATACTCTTCTTACCTTTTTCAGTTCATCTCCTTCATCTCTCGAGCAACAATAAGTTCCCCTCTGCCTTCACCATCACCGATGTCTGTAGGCATCATTATATCATCGTCGACTGTGAAGTTATATTTCTCCCCAATGGCCCTTAGAAGCTGGTATACTTCAAACATAGTAGGCCTCTCCTTGGGAGTAAGCACCACACAATTACATGCAACTTTAAGAAACTGGAAAAGCTCCTCATTCACACCCTTTCCAACCAAAGATCTGTCGAGCGCATCCTGGAGTTGAGATTGGCTTGACAGCTGCATAATCCATTCCACCAAATTTCCTTTGAAGTCTTCAGGAGCTTTAGCAATATGGGTAGCTCTCTCACCAGTCACCAACTCAAGAAGAACAGTTCCAAAGCTGTAAACATCCCCCTTTGGAGTGGCAAGTAGAGTTCGTGCATACTCAGGAGCAACATAACCCAGATCCCCGAACTCCCCATTCACAAAAGTACTCAAATGCGTATCAATTGGATTCATGAGCCTAGCTAGGCCAAATTCAGATATTTTCGGCTCGAAATCTGCATCCAGTAAGATGCATTTGGAGCTTATGTTTCGGTGGATAATTCGAGGATTGCAGTTATGGTGGAGCCACGCTAATCCTCTGGCTGCCCCTATCCCAATTTTAAGCCTAGTTGGCCACTCCATAATCTTCGCACCATCAGCATCCATAGGATGTAGCTGATCGTGGAGGGTACCATTAGGCATGTACTTATAGACTAAAAGCCTTTCCTTCTTCGCCACGCAAAATCCTAAAAGAGGAACCAAGTTACGGTGTTCTATATTCCCCAAAGTAGCCATCTCAGACAGAAACTCTTTCTCAGAGTGTTGAGATTCCTGCAACCTCTTGACCATAAGTGGGGTGCCATCGTCGAGCACTGCCTTGTACATAGTTCCAGTTCTTCCTAACCCAATGATATTGTCTTTGTGGAAATTGTTGCTGGCCTTCATGAGATCACCCAGTTTCATTTTAGAAATTGACTTCTCAAACATGGAAACCTGGAGTAAACTAGCTTCATTACAATACAATACAGCTCAAACTACTAAAAATAGAAACATAACTTTGTGCATAATCAAAATGAACAAAGTATAGCAAGAAAGAAAGAGAGAGGGAACTAATCAGATTATCATTGTATGTAAATCATTAATTTGTTTCTAAAAGAAATGTTCTGTATTAGCTTACCTTGATGCCTTTAGTTTTCTTGAAACTCTTTGCCCATTTGTTCCCTTCCGGATCCTCTTCCTTCTTCCTTGCAGACACTCTACGCATAAAGAAGAACAAGCCAATAACAACAATTAATGCTGCAAAAGTTGCACCACCAACACCAGCTCCCACAATAACTACACTGTTAGACTTCTTTGCAGACCCCTGGCACTGCTTCAGAGGCCCCCCACAGAGTCCAGGATTGTTTGCGTAAGAGTCCGCTGTAATTGATGCATTATTACTAAAGGTTGGGACTTGGCCAGACAGCTGATTGTTGGCCACACTAAATGTTTTAATCCTACCAAGCTGGCCAAGTTGTAGAGGAATGCTACCCGAGAACTTGTTGTTGTCAAGCTTAAGCACATTCAGATAGGTGCAATTGGAAAGGTTCGTTGGGATTGGCCCTGTGAAGCTGTTAGATGAGAGATCAAGGGTTGTAATGAACGAAATGATTTTACCGATTTCATCAGGAAGAGGTCCATTGAGCTGATTGCTTGAAAGATCTAACCCTGTTAGGCTTGTGCAATTTGCTACGCCTCTAGGAAATGAGCCCTTCAGTCCCAAATCCGAAAGCTTGATGTTTAAAACTTTGCTCTCATGAGGGTGCCAACACTCGATTCCCAGAAAGTTACAGATGAAACCTTCAGTGTTGTTGTTGAAATCCCAGGAAGAGTTTAAGTAACCTAAAGTGTCCTGAAGTGATGCTTTTATACTTCTTAAGCAGTTGATATCACTCTCAACACCAAAGCTGAAACTACAACTAAGCAATAACCAGAGGACACCGCCAATAAAAATGCCAGGATCTCGTCCATTCAACAACATATGCATTGAGAAAGCCATCAGAATCGCCTAAATTGCTACTTAGTGATATCAGAGATCAAGATACTGAACCCGCAAAACCCCAGCATTAGTCAACACCAAACCCTGAAACAAACTCAACAGAAAATGAACCCAGTCAGGCTACAAATACTGAAACCCACAAAAATCTAGCTTTCAACAACACAAAATTTGGATTTTTTTTTTTTTTTTTTTAACAACACATACAACAAAACCCAATTCATCATCACTTATCAAAAGATGTAAAAACAGGTTCAACAAGCAACAATTTGATTGATAAACCTGAAAATTCACAAACTACAGACTAAATCATAGACATAGCTAGTTAAAAAACCAACCTCGATCCAACTGAGTTGACCCAAGTCTGCCTAAACATAAGCACAAATATTCACAAAAATCCAGCTAAAAGTTTAAAGCTTTGAGAAAAATTTAAAGAACACACCTGAGAAAGTTCACTAGCGCAAACGCAGAAAATTCACAGAGCGCAAAGAAGGCTTCTTGAATCAACAACAGCAGAGCTTCCCCTGTTTCCACAAAGACAAGGACTTCATGGGTCAACAAAAAAGCAACGGCAGATACGATTTACATACAGATATATTCATCCAATAACTACTTTTTATATATTTTTTGGAAAAACTGGACATGGGTGTGTGTGAATGGAGATGCTTTTGCAGGAAAGCCTTGGGTGGGTTTTGAGAAAAGTGAGGAAATGAGAGGCTCGACGGGTCAAAGAAGGCCGGCCATTTTTGTCAAACTTAGCGACGACTTGGGACTGCTAGACCTCCTCAGAGTGCTTGACTCGCTTTTTCTTTCATTTCCAAAAAATAATAAAGTTATTTATTTATTTATGCACTGTTAGAAAAAATGTTATGGTATTGGTCACCAAACCGTTAAAAATATGAAAGCTTGAACTTTAAGGTCGTTTGTGCGTTTGTCTTCAACCACTCCTTTTTATCTCCTTGACTTTTGGAAAAATTTGGTTCATAAATTCTTAAGTAAAAGATTTACTTTTACTGCACTAAGATTCACCAAGTAAAAGTTTTGAACTTTGAATTTGAATGAGTTTCTATCAAAAAAAAAACAAACAAACTTGAGTGAGTTGTTAGACATGAATGCAACTTCAGCTTGTGTTTAATTTTTGTACTTGTTATGAGAGATATTTCAGCTTGGACATAATTCGTCTTTTGTTAGCTAGTATCCAATAATGTTTTCCAAATTTGATTATTGATAGTTTGAAGGAAAATTTTCCAAATTTTAACTCATTATTGATTTAGTGATATTCTCGATTTGCAACCGTAGTGTTAGTTGAATTGGCCCATGTCTTTGGTGTGCTCCCAAGCAATCATTGGTTCAAGTCCTCGTGGTACAGCATGTATGAATTTTCCCCCGTTTCTTCTTACCTTCAGCACACACACAAAAATGTACCAATTTAAACTTTGTTCAAAGTTACCAACTAACTTTTGGAGCAGTGGCACTTCTATTCTTTCCAATGGTGGAAGAGATTCCAAAATCAAATTACCTCTCCTAAAAAGAAAATTAAAAATATATTTATTTAAAGTTGAGCTCAACCCCAATAATGGGAAGGAAGGGGTAATCGTAAGGGTAGGGTAGAGATCTTTATGTCAAAGTCTCTTATAATCGAAAAAACAAAAGTTAAGGTCAAGTCAATCACTTAATGTTCATGGAATTGAGTGGGATTTAATTAATTAATTTTTTTTTTTTCCCTACATGAGGTTGTTTAGGTAGAGCCGTAGAGGCGACTACTGAAAATAATGTTTCATCCATTGCCATTTCTCCCCACATCACTTACTTTAATTAAATATATTTCTTGCTTAATTATGCATTTAGGGCATGTGTAAAGCCATTGTGACTTGCATGTCCTACTTGACCTAGAAAAGAAAAACAAAAAAAGGGGGCATTCATCTTGTTTTGCTTGATTTGGCAATGCATCCCCTTTGTTTCAAAGATATCATCCTCACCTCATTTGATGTTCACTTGCATTTTCTCTAAATAGTTGTTTAGGTCATTAATCCTCATTAAAGAGTGCACTCATTGCAATACAAATGAATCCATTATAGAAATTTTAAATATATATCACGAACTTTTCTCAAAACCTAGAAAAGAAAAACAAAAAAAGGGGGCATTCATCTTGTTTTGCTTGATTTGGCAATGCATCCCCTTTGTTTCAAAGATAACATCCTCACCTCATTTGATGTTCAATTACATTTTCTCTAAATAGTTGTTTAGGTCATTAATCCTCATTAAAGAGTGCACTCATTGCAATACAAATGAATCCATTGTAGAAATTTTAAATATATATCACGAACTTTTCTCAAACAACAAACTTTTCATTGTTTTTCATCTCTCTTTATGTCAAAATGCACAATGAAAACCAACAATAATTTAAAGTTCAACACAATCCACGAAATGGAATGAGAATGAGAATTGAATGAAATCAAGTAAGGAATAAGAATCCAATTTCTTGGTTCGAAGAGCCCCAAATTTTCTTATAAATGTTATGTTTGAGGATAGTACCAAGTAGGGTTTTTTTTAGTATGATTCTAGAGGGAACGAGAGGATAAGGGGTGCTCCATCGGGGACAAGGTTCCTTATTCTAGGACATAGTCGAGTGTTTTTTTACTTGTTCTTATAAACAAATCATATCGCTATTCTGAAAAAAAAAAACAAAACCTGCTATCAAACTACATTTTAAAATCCAAGAATACTTTGTCGACATTCGTAAACAAAGTTTAAGATAATTTTTCCGTGACAAGCATTACTTATGGAAAGCAAACAAAAACCTTGTACGACAAAGATGTTTTTCATAGTCCTGTCCAGCGCATAGAGGCAGGTGGCATAACCTTAACGCCACTCCACACTTCACTATAAACACTCCCAAGGCCCAGGCCCATACATTTCTCTAGATCGTCTCCAGTATGGTCCAACCGGGAAGTAGCCAAAATGGGAGTGCCCCATAAAAAGCAAAAGAAAGAGGGCTGCGACATAAAACACTCTCTTGCTTGTCTGAACTTTCCTCTTTCTCTCTCTTCGTCTCTGTATGTAGGGATTGCTGAGAGTAGCAGCCACTCACTCACACATCGACCAGCAGTCTCAGTAGCCATGGATTGATCGGTTCTCCTCGGAATTTCCACAATTCCTTCTGGGGTTTTTGGTAAATTTCCTTCCTTTACTCGCAAATTCACTCATTTTGCTTACTTTCCTACTCTTATCTTCAGATCGGCGCCGTTTCTTTCCGCGGATAGTTCTCTATTTTCCCGCGAAATTTCTTTCATTTTACGGGAAATTTAGAGAAATGTTTACCGCGAGAGCGAGCCGGCTGTTGTGAACGGAATTGAAGAGTTTGGGTTACTTTATTTAGTGTTTTTGTTATTCAATTTCGAATTTTTGTAATGTTTTGTTTGGTTAGGGTTTCTGAGTGTACTTTGTGAATCTAGCATTTGGGAATTGGGATCTCTTGCTTGGATATCTTCATTGCGTTAATTCAAGCTTGCTGTAATTACTGGTGAGCTATTTTGTGATAATTTGTCATAAAAATTTAGATTTTTTTTTGTTTTCTTACAATTTTGGCTGTGCTTTCTTTGAAATTTAAGCTGTCTTTTTCTGTCAGTTTGATTAACCGAGGTTAATGCTCCTCAAGGTTGCTACTTTTGCTACAAATGTGTAACTGTTTTTAATTTGAGGGTAATGATATTAATAGATTAATTGTGGAGGTGAAATTGTAGTGGATTTGTTGAGCTAACATTCCCTTTTGATGTTTCATAGGACCACTTATTCAAAAGCTCAGTTTATTACCCCACTGAACTTCCAGCTTTAGCATTATTCTTTGACTTTGGTTTGAATTGTGAGTATTATTCTAAGTTCAAGCTATGAAGTTTTGATCATTTTATGTTTTAAGTGGAGACAATTCGTCCCATTCACCATGCCATTTTGAAGGTTTTCTATGTCTTTCAAGACTAGAAAGATGACCATTCACCATGCCCCTTCCCAATTTATTAAAATGGTCTCGGATCTGAACCAAGTACATTCTTGAAGCTCCCCATCAGTCCATCTTCTGTTTATCAAATTTAGATATAGGGAAATTAATGGCTATCAAATCTTTCATATCTTTTTAAAGATGTTTGCATATGGATGACCACTCAACCATTGAGGTGGCTTGAGAAGACAATAACATCCAATTCACCTCAATTCAAATCCTCTTCTGCAGCCGCTGTACTACTTTATTCTCCTAACTTGTTTCCTGCAGTTCTACCATTGAAGCCAACACTATTGTTAAATACCTTCACTGTTGGACTTGTATCAAGACCTGAAAGGATAATTTTTTCTTTCTAATAATTTACTTCCCTTTGGGTGTGGCATAAAAACAATACAAGTGCATACCTGATGCATGTTGGCAGATTAAAATATATTTATACATCCAAGTATGCATGTACTGATCTGTCTACTGTTTATTGGTATGATTAGATTAACCAAAATTCTGTAAGGACTCAGATTGTGGGGAAGGGAATTTGTTTTTCGGATTAAAGTTTAGCATGTTGTTGTTGCTTCTGTTTCTGCTGCTTTGACTATCAATACTTCTATATGTTTTGAGACTTCTCTCTTTTGTTATCTCCAGATCCTTTGCCATGGATAATACCAACTCAGTTTCTACACTGATAGATTGTACAACCTCTAAGATACAACAGCTTCAGAAAGCATTTGCTGAACTTGAGAGTCACCGGGCTGTAACCCTGAACTTGAAATGGAAAGAACTTGAAGAACATTTTCATGGGCTTGAAAAATCCTTAAAGAGGCGTTTCCATGAGCTGGAAAGCCAAGAAAAGGAGTTCGAAAGCAGAACAGTGGAAGCCCAAAAACTGTTAGAAAAGCGGCAAGCAGCTGTTGTGGCCAAGGAACAAGCTTCACTGGAGACTCTTCAAGAGAAGCGAGATGCTGCTATATACGTTATTACTACTGCTCGAGAGAAGCAAAGGAAGGTATCAACTGAGGAGTCTTCTGTTGTCACTGATGATGGCCAGGGTGGGCCACCAAGTGTGGAAGAGAAACCACCGGATGTGATGGTTTCTGATAGTAACTTTGAAGAAATGAAAAGTGCTGAAAATGGGAGTATAGAGGTGATGTCCTATCCCCAGTTAGTGAAACTATGTGAACAGATGGACTCAGAAGGGCTCCACAAATTTATATCAGATAACCGCAAGAACCTTGCTTCCATAAGAGAGGAAATTCCACTTGCATTAAGAGCTGCAGCCAACCCTGCCCTATTTGTTTTGGAGTCTTTGGAAGACTTTTACCGCCTGGAAGGGCCCAATATGGACGGGAAGAAGGATTCAAATCTGTTGGGTGTCCGTCGTACTTGTATCATGTTGATGGAGTGTCTGAGCATATTGCTAACAAACCCAGATTTAGTCTCTGCTTCTGATGTAATTACGGAGGAGGTTAAGGATCTGGCAGAAGCAATTGCTGAAGAATGGAAGCCAAAGTTGGATGCTCTTGACATGGATGCTAGCAATGGGAACTCACTAGAGGCTCATGCTTTTTTGCAACTTCTTGCTACTTTTGGTATTGCCTCTGGTTTTGATGAGGAAGAATTATTCAGGCTAATACCAATGGTTTCACGTCGTCGCCAAACAGCTGACCTTTGCCGTTCTCTTGGATTGACTGAGAGAATGCCAGGTTCGTCTTTTATTTTTGAAGAAATACATTTTAGGTGAAATTTGTCAAGCTTTTTAGTTTGTTAAATAAATGCACTGACCTTAAGATTTGATCATGTTTTCTAAAGTAAAGAAGTGCTTTATCATTTTTTTTGGGCCTTAT